GCTGGGGGCTGGGGCAGGGGCTGGGCCTGGGGCTGGGCCTGGGGGCATTAGGCAGTGGTGGGCCGACATGAGGCCAAGGCCAGTGGGGGCTTTGGTGAGGTGGGCGGTTGGCGCGAGGTGGGGTACTCTAGTGGATACAGTCCCCCGAGACCCCCCCGCACCCTTTCCCCTGGGATGCTGCAGATTTCTGTCCCTCCAGGGCCCATGTGCCTCCCTGGGGAGCTGCCGGCTGGGACCTGGGTCACGGTCCCTGTCACCCAGGCACACACGTGCTCAGCACGGCAGTGGGGCTACAGGGTGCATGGAGTAAAGCCCCGTGGGGCAGACACTGTCAAGGCCACGGCTGGAGGAGGGGTGATTTTGCCCGAGGGCACACGCGTGGGCAGAATCCTCCCCCTGTATCTCGGCCCCAGGGCTCCTCCGTGCACTTGCTCTGACTGCCCTTGTCCCCTACCCCTCAGTGGCCGGGCTGCCCCAGCGGAGGGGCCTGGGTCACTTTGTGTCCGCCCTCGGAGCCCGCTGCTGCAGCTTCGGCACACCTGTGAGGATGCTTAAAGAGTGATGAAGATGGTTCAGGGCGCCCCGTGTCCTGCTTCCCCTGAAGTCAGCGCCCCATCCCCTGGGGCCCGGGTCACAATGAGGAGCCCCCCACAGCCATCCTGACACCGATGTCACCAGCTTTCCCAGTGTCCTTTCCTGTCCCCGTCAGTTCAGGGTCCCATGTGGCGTTCATCATCACCTTGGCCATCTGCCTCTTGGGTCAGCTCGGGTCTGGACAAAGTCCCTCTGATGATTCTCGTACTGAGATGGCACTCTAGGTTTCAGAAAGGAGACCTCACACTATCGCATCACCTCCTGTCTGAGGGTCCCTGACATAAGTGACGTCACCGTGAGGGTCATTGCTTGGGCAGGGGCGTCTGCCACGTTTCTCCTCTAAAGTGACTCCTTTGCCGTCCACGCTTTCTCCACCGGGTGCTGAGCGCAGCCCAGGGCACTGAGGGGGATTCAGCTCCATGGTGGGAGCATGTGTGACCCAGTAACCACGAGTGCCCCTCGGGGGGACACGTGGAGGGTGTGCACTCATCCACGCCCTCTTAAGTCTCTGCCCACTGGCGTCGGCGTCTGTGTCCGGCCTCAATGTCCCACAGCAGTTACCCCTGAGGGGCTCATCCCACCTAGCTTTACAGAGCTCAGTACCATGTCACCATGGTCCCCAACGCCGCACGCAAGGCAGCGGCCCATCTGTGTCACTGCTGCACGACCCGCCACCATGCGGGGACAGCACAGGGTCTTCATCCACCCCCCGCCAGTGGGCACGTGTGCTGTTTCCACTGTTTGGATGCCGTGCTACGGCGATCACCCTGTCCGCTTCCCCGGGGGTGGCCGGGCCCGGCCGTGGGACGTTCTGTTTTGTTTCCCAAATCCTTGCACCAGGGGTGCCCCCCGCAACACGCAGGGGTTCGGTGGCCTTTGGTGCTGTGTGTGGCCGCGGGGCAGAGGTGCCACACAGCCCCTGACCACGCTTCCTCGCCTCTCCCGATCCCCGCGTGTCGCCTTGTCCCTGCTCCCTTCCTGGGAAGTCCCCGTCTGTGTCTTCGGCCCCCTTCACGCTGGGCCGTCTTTTCTCACGGATTCCAGACGGATCTTTGCTGGCCCTTCGTGCTGCCGTCCAGGGCCTCCTGGCCCTTCCCCAGACACTGCCCTACCGGAACAGCTGACTCGTCCCTGCCACCCCCAGCTCCACGTTTTGAGCCCCTTGGTGCCGTTGTGCCTGGCTCAGGAGCTGCTCTGCTGTGGGAACGAGCGGGTCCTTCTGTTTGCCCCGCTGCAGGGTGAAGACAGCTTCCGCATCCTGGTGGGGACCGAAGGAGACAGCATCCCGCTGATGGAGGTCAGCGCTTCTGAGGTGAGTCGCTGCTCCGAAGCCTCCTGTGCTTGGCCCCTCCCACCAACCCGGCCCTGGCCCTGCCCCCCGCGGCCCTGCACCTGCCCCCTATCTCCTTCCTCCAGACCGAGGCCCCTGAGCCGTGGGACTACGTCCTTGTGGCCGACCGCCGCACCCAGAGGAGCCCCAGGTGTGTCCGCCAGCAGCAGAGCTTCCTGGAAGACCTCAGGAGGAAGGGCTTCCGTTACAAGGTGGGCTGGCACTGGCGCCTGGGGGCAGGAGTTGTGGGTGCCGGGTGGCTCCTGGGGAGCGGTCTGGAGAGGTGGCCCATGGCCTTGTGCTTGCGTGTTCCCATGCGGCCCCACCCCCAGGTTAAGGAAGACAAGGAGAAGGTGTTCTTTGGGGTCCAAGCTGACAGCAGGATCTTCGACCTGTACCGCATGCTCCTCATGGAGCCCGAGGGTCCAGCCCCCCGAGTGGAGTCGGCCGGGACCACCCTCATCCCAACCACCACCAGGTGAGAGGCCCAGAGCCAGGCCTGGGGCAGCCCTGCCCACCACGTGCCTGGTCCGGGCATGCGAGGCTCCCAAGCGTGGCCTCGGGTCTCTGGGCTGCAGCTTCTGTATCTGCGAAAAGGGACAATGACCGCTCTCCCTCTTGGGGTGTTCTGAACGTTACATGGGGCTGCGACCTCAGACTTCAAGGCTGGGCAGGATATGGAGAGGCCGAGAGCAGCCATCCCTCTTGGCTCTGAAGCCAGAGGTGGGTCCCTACCTCTCCTCTCCAAGCACCTGCTTCTCCCCACTAACCCTCTAGCCCTACAAGCTGGTCCACCTGCCCTCCCACGCCCTTCCTCCATCACCTGCCTGACTCGTCCCAGGCCCCTCTGAACTCGCCTGAGGCCCCGTCAGTGGAGACTGGTGAACACCGCTCCTGGCATCTGGATATGAGGCGATGGAGGGGCCTCGGGTGGACACAGGGGGACTGGCACAGCTGCGGGGGGGACAAGGGGAGGGCACTGAGCAGAGGCACCTCGGTGGGGCTGCGGGAACAGCCTGGGGTGAGTGCCCCATAGGGGGGTGACCAGAGGGGTGTGGCTCAGCCGCTTCTTAGCTGTGTGACCTTTGGCGAGTTATTCGACCTCTCTGAGCCTCAGTCTCCACATAGTCAAAACGGCTCCCAGTGGGGTAAAGAGGACTCGCGCTCCCGAAGGCGCAGGGTGTGCTCTGGACACGTGCGGGGCTCCAGGTGGGAGGTGTGATTGGAGGTAGAGGGTCGGGCCAGGTGGCTGGGGGAGAGGGACCACCCCCGAGAGAGCCCCATCCTGGAGCCACGGGGCGGCTGGACCCTGGGAGGATAAGGAGGACAGGGGTGGGCTCCCAGCCGAGTCCTGGGTTCAAGCTCTGGTCAGGCCGCCAGGCAGGGGGCTGGGGATCCGGCCAGACAGAGGGCGGCGTCACACGGCGCCACCCTGAGCCAACTCTTGTGTTCTAGAATCCGAATCATCAACTTTGTCCTGAACAGCAAGACGGCAGATGGCGGTGAGGACGGAGTGGGCAGGTGGGCGTGTGGTGGCCAGGAGGGGCATCGTCATAGGGAGAGCGGGCAGGGCCCTCCCTCAGCCCGCTCCCCTCTGACCCGAGGCTCCCTGTGACCTGTAGACACATTCCATGATTTGGTGAAGGAAAAGGTCTTTGAGACCAAGTTCCCCCTGCACAAGGTGAGGGGCGGGCCGCCTGGGAGAGTGCCCGAGGGCGGGACGTGAGGCGGGAAGCCCTCACTGCCACTTGTGCCAGGGCGAGGAAGGCCTGAAGAAGAAATGGGCCCGGTGGAGGAACATGGTCCGCGAGCAGCCGATCGATGATATCAGGTGATACCGGCCCAAACAAATCACCTGTGCCCCCCACGCCACGCCCCTGCAGACACACCTACGGGCTCAGACACAGCTACGCCTCCACAGACGACACACCTACGCACCCACAGACACAGCTACGCACCCACAGACGCGCTCACGCACCCACAGACACAATGCGCCTCCACAGACACAGCTACGCACCCACAGACACAGCTACGCACCCACAGGCACACCCACGTACCCACAGACACAGCTACGCACCCACAGACACATCTACGCACCCACAGACACAGCTACTCACCCACAGGCACACCCACGTCCACAGACCCACAGCTACGCACCCACAGACACAGCTACGCACCCACAGGCACACCCACGTACCCACAGACACAGCTACGCACCCACAGACACATCTACGCACCCACAGACACAGCTACTCACCCACAGGCACACCCACGTACCCACAGACACAGCTACGCACCCACAGACACAGCTACGCACCCACAGGCACACCCACGTACCCACAGACACAGCTACGCACCCACAGACACATCTACGCACCCACAGACACAGCTACTCACCCACAGGCACACCCACGTACCCACAGACACAGCTATGCGCCCACAGACACACCCACGTACCCACAGACACAGCTATGCGCCCACAGACACACCCATGCACCCGCAGATGTGTCGGTGTACCCCGCTTAGACATACTGATGCTGTCAGTATAGACACCCCACGTCCCCACGTGTGGCGTGCCCCGCCCGGGTGACGTCACCTCTGGTGGGGTGGCCCTGACAGGCAGCTGTGCCCACAGGAACTACTTCGGTGAGAAGGTGGCCCTGTACTTCGCCTGGCTTGGCTGGTACACCTACATGCTGGTGCCCGCCGCGGTGGCCGGCCTCATCATCTTCCTGAGCGGCTTCTCCCTGTTCCATGCCAGCCAGATCAGGTGGGGGCTGGGCAGGGTGCGGGGGAGGGGCGCTGGTCCGGGGAGAGGCCTGGCAGCAGCAAAGGTCCCTGCATCCCCAGCAAGGAGATCTGCGAGGCCCACGACATCCTCATGTGTCCTCGCGGTGACCACAGGCGCAGGTACCAGCGCCTCTCGGACACCTGCACCTTTGCTAAGGTTTGCTGCCCTGGGGGTCGCCGCCGGACTCCGTGGGCTGTGGGGGCGCCGGCTGGCCTGTCCTCTGAAGGGTGGAAGGCCAGGGGGAGCAGAGCCGGGGGACCCTGGGGGGCCGCGGAGCGGGGAAGCCGGCCCCAGCCCCGCACCCTCTCCCCAGCTCACCCACCTCTTCGACAACGAGGGCACCGTGCTGTTTGCCATCTTCATGGCTCTGTGGGGTGAGTCGCTGCGAGCACCTGGGGCCAGCCTGAGCTCCGGGACCACCCTGCACCAGCGCCCTGGGCGCCACCCCAGACCTACCCCAGGGACACACGTGACTCCCGCCTTGCTCCCACTGCAGCCACTGTGTTCCTGGAGATCTGGAAGAGGCAGCGAGCCCGTGTGGTCCTGCATTGGGACCTGTATGGGTGGGATGAGGACCAGGTGAGCTGCAGCCAGGGCGCCCACAGGGCAGGCTCTTCCCAGGGCCCCGTGCGGCCCACGCCTGCCCCTGCCGTCCCAGAGGCCTGCATCCCCATGTCTGAGACATGTGTTCCCGTGTCTGAGGCCCGTCTGTGTCTGAGGCCCGTCCCCCGTGTCTGAGGCCCGTCCCCCGTGTCTGAGGCATGTGTTCCCATGTCTGAGTGTCTGAGGCCTGTCTGTGTCTGAGGCCCATCCCCCATGTCTGAGGCCCGTCCCCCGTGTCTGAGGCCTCTCCCCTGTGTCCCCATATCTGAGGCCTGTCCCCCATGTCTGAGGCATATGTTCCCATGTCTGAGTGTCTGAGGCCCGTCTGTGTCTGAGGCCCGTCCCCCGTGTCTGAGGCCCGTCCTCCGTGTCTGAGGACCGTGCCCCGTGTCTGAGGACCGTGCCCCGTGTCTGAGGCCCGTCCCCCGTGTCTGAGGCCCGTCCCCGTGTCTGAGGCCCATCCCCTGTGTCCCCATATCTGAGGCCTCCGTGTCTGAGGCCCGTCTGTGTCTGAGGCCCGACCCCGTGTCTGAGGCCCATCCCCCGTGTCTGAGGACCGTCCCCCGTGTCTGAGGCGTGTCTGGGGCCGTCCCCAGGAAGAAGTGGCACTCGAGCTCATTAACTGCCCTGACTACAAGCTCCAGCCACACCAGCACTCCTACCTGAGAAGCACCATCATCCTCATCCTGTCTCTGTTCATGGTATTCCTGGGAGCCTGTGGGGGGCGGCTGGAGACACAGCGGGGACAGCCCTCCCAAGGCCCCGCCCACCCCCGCAGATCTGCCTCATGATTGGCATGGCCCACGTCCTGGTCGTCTACCGTGTCCTGGCCGCCGCCGTCCTCAGCAACTTGGCCTTGCCCTTCCTGGAGGAGCAGGTGACCACGGCCGTGGTGGTGACGGGGGCCCTGGTGCATTATGTGACCATCCTCTTCATGACCAAGGTCGGTGGGTGGAGCAAGGGACAGGCAGGGAGGGGCGTCCCCCCTGAGGCCCAAAGTGAGCCTCGTCTCCCCTCACGCAGATCAACAAGATCGTGGCCCTGAAGCTTTGTGACTTCGGTGAGCGCAGGGGCCCTCAGCCCTGGCCTGGCCTCTGGGGAGACGTGGGAGGCCGAGGGGGCACTCAAGGCTGGGATCCCAGAGCCCTGGGTGGGAGCAGGGGCCCTTCCTGCAGTCCGCACCCCCTCTGCCACCGGAGGGTAGAAGCTCGCACCTGAGAGACAGGTGAAGGTTGCAGGCATTGACGCAGGGGCAGGCCAGGAGTGGGGCCGTCTCGGGGCTAGGGACAGGCGAGGAACGGTCCCACGTCTCATCCCAGAGAAACCCAGGACCTTCTCGGAGCGAGAGAGCAAGTTCACCGTCAAGTTCTTCACGCTGCAGTTCTTCACCCACTTCTCCTCCCTCGTCTACGTCGCCTTCATCCTGGGCAGGTGAGGGCCACCCCGCGTCCCTTCCCCGCTGACGCATGGAAAGGCCTGCTCTTTTTAATTTTTAAAGTAATTCGTGCTCAGAACAAGCGGAAAGTCAGGATAGAAATCTGTGGAGGAAGCCTACGGTTCACCCCAGCTCTGCTGTCCGGTCCCCGAGGGGACGCCTGACGTCACCGTCTGCGGGTCTAAGCAGACTTTTGCACACACTGACATGCGCACACACACAGCTATGGGCCTCGGTGGTTCTGTCCTGTGAATAACGACCACTTTCTACAGCGAGAACGGGCCGTGGCCTCTTCTGATTCCCACGGCTGGGGTGTTCTTTGCGGGGAGCGGAAACTGCTTTAAGCCCCTGTTGGGTTCTTTCCGGTTCTGAGCTTTGCAAATAAAGCTGCCGCGGGCAAGCACTTCCCCTCACCCTTCTAATTAGCGAAATGGACCCCTTTGGTTCAAACGATACACACTTTTCCGTCTTCTCTTTAGAAAATCATTGCCCCGTTTGTTGTGGGTTTGATTACATTTCGTAAGGCACACACGTGGTGCCGACCGATCCCAAACTCCTTACCAGAACTTTATCAAATCCCGGCTCCTCTGAGATGTTCAAAGACATCAGAGGTCGCGCGAGTTCGCCTGTCCTTGGGGAGCCCGTCCTGGCTGTGCCCTCTCCTTGGGGCTGTGCGTGGCCCTTCCATCTGCGTAGGGCCTCGGGCCCCGGAGCATCCCGGGGAGGGACGGCGGGAAGCAGCCGCGCTGCGCTCCTGCTTCAGCGAGGCCGGAGCCCAGCAGAGGCGACCTGCCCTCCGGCATGCGGTCTGCGCTGTTGCAGGCGTGACGGCCTCTTCTCACGTCCCCAGGCGTCTGGAATTCTCAGCCGCGGGCCTGAGTGGGCCTCTTGCGTTCCACATGCTTCTGTCTGCTGGGTGACCGCCGTCACATAGCAGCTGTCACGTTTCTTTCAAAGAATCCTCTCACTGGCACATCCAGATTCTGGTCCTCCCCCTCCTGCCTCTCTTTCCTCAGTACTGGTCGCCCCCCTCCAGCTGCTGGCTTTGCCTGTTCTCCCGAAGGACCCGGCTGGTGACGTTAGCACCGTGACAAACACCACTGAGGCCCACACTCTCGCCTCAGCCCTGTCCAGACCCACAGACCTGGCTGCCTGTCGACATGCTCACTCTGAGGTCCTGCCGGCACCCCAGCCTTACCCTGTCCACCAGCTCGTCCCCAATCTCGCAGCCTTGCCGTCCCCTCGGCCACCCAGGACACGCCATGCTCTTCCTTGTTCACTGAGTCTCAGGAACGGTGGCCCCATAGGGAGTGGGCCTTGTCCTTTGCCGGGTTCCCAGTGATGTAGCAGGCCTGGCTGTGGAGTCCATGTGTGTCCCATGAGAAGGACCTGCCACATACACCGGGCTGGAGCCCGCCAGCCTTCGGTTCCGAGGCGTTTTCAGGCGTCTTGCGTCTGATGACGTCCGGCATCGGCCATCTCATTTCCTTGGCTTCTTTCCTCCCATTGCCGCCCCATTGCCGCCCCAGTGTCCCCACTCTGGTTTCTGACCCTTCAGGGGAGCGTCTTCTGCTCGCGGTCCGAGCTCAGGGGGCTCCTCTGGATGCGTGCAGCTCCTCCCAGCCCCCTCATGCTGCCCGGACGCCGCGCCCGTCCCTGCTGCGACCTTCGTCGTGACCTTTGTTCCTTTACGGTGTCTGTTTTTCAGGCCGTGCTCAAAAGGCCCCCTTCTCAAGATTAAGCATGTGTTCAGCTGTGATTTCCTTTAGATATTCATGGCTTCAACATTTTAAAGACTCAAATCATTGACTCATGAGGGGTCTGTTGGGCCGTGAGGGGCAGAGGACGGGACCCTGTGTGACCCCGACCTCACTGTAGGTTGCCGTGTTGTGCTTTTTTTAAAATTTTGATTTATTTTTATTTTTTAGGCGAGGCAGCCCTTGGTTGACCTCACAGATTGCAAGGACCTTGTCGGCTTACAATCCCTTATTTTTTTATTTTTTACACCTACAGCACCTGGTCTTCCTAGCTGGTCTCCCATCCAAGTACTGACCAGGCCCGACCCTGCTTATGTTGTACTTTTAAAAAAAATTATTTTGTGTGTGTGTTGGACTTTACTGCCAGATGGGCCCGAGCTCCTCACTCTTCTTTCTTGCTTCGCCTTTTTTTTTTTTTAATGGTTATTTACACGTTTATTATTCTAGGTAAGCTTTAGAATCATTCTGTCAATCTATGGCGGGATTCTGTGGGATTTAGCTTAAGACTGCAGTAAAATCATACGTTTTCTAGGGAGAACCAACGTGGACACCGCGTTGATTTTCCATTGCTGCCATAGCGGATGACCACAGCTTTCTGGCTTTGAGCAACACGAAGTTGTTATCGTACCGTTGTGTAGACCCGAAGTCCCAAAGGGGCCTCGCGGGGCGGAATCCGAGCGCTGCGGGGCTGGCGTTCGCCCGGCAGAGCGTCTGTCCGCTTCCTCAGCTCTGCGAGGCCGCCCGAGCGCCCGGGGCCCTGGCCCCTTCCTCCTCTGTCTGCAAAGCCAGCGGCAGCGCTGAGTCCTTGTCCTGCCGGCTCTGCGGCCCCGCCCGGCCCCGCCGCGTGCCCACTGAAGGACCCGCAGGATCACACTGGGCGTGCCCAGATAACCCGGGATACCCTCCCCACTGTCAGGTCAGCTGGCAGCGACCTTAATGCCGCCCGCCGTGTAAGGTGACAACTCACGTCCGTCGCACACTTGCGCGCTGAGCCACGGGCTCCAGGAACTGGGACGTGGACGTCTTCGGGGGCGTCACTCCGTCTACACGCAAAACACAATCCTGAGTTTTCCTATTGATGAAGAGGTTTTTGATATTCAAGTCTTTTCCTCTTCCTCTTTTTTCTTTAACGTTCTTTAGTAGTTTTACAGTTTTCTTCCCACGGGGGCCAGACTCGTCATGCATTTCACCGTGGCTGCGTTGCGGTGGTGGCTGATGTCTGTGACAGACACCTCCTGCTGCATCTCCCGCGGGTCCCACTGCACCCCGCAGAGCGAGCCGACCCCGGGGTCAGCTTCCTTGTCTCCGAGCACTTGTCAGCTGATTTAGCCAGCCGGTCTTTCAGTTGGTTTATTTTGGTTTTCCAGGTACATGATCGTGTTTCCTAAAATAGTAATTTCTTCTTTTGCAAATTTACACTGTTCCAGAGCCGCGCTGCACAGTTGTCAGGAACTGTGACGAGCCTCGCGGATCTCGCCGCCGAGCGTGAGCCTGACCTGGGGCTTAATAGAGTGTGTATTTTTTACCGTGTTACGGAAAGCAGGCGATTGAAACACAAAGCAACTCCAGTGCCGTTTCCGTGGGGGAAACTGAGGCAAGCCCACCGCCAGCAGGCCTCGTCTAGAACGCACGCCTGAGCCAGTGACCGGCTGAGCTTTCGCCTGCGCGTGCGTGTGGCGTGCGGCGGGCTTGGGCGTAGCCTCCGGCGTCCTGCGCTTCCCCTCCACTGCCCCCGCTGCCCCCGCTGCCCCTTCCGTCCTGCGCCACCCGCACCCTGTCAGAGGCAAGGTGCTGCCCTCCGCCTTGCTGTCCTCCCTAGGATCAACGGCCACCCTGGGAAGTCCGTGCGCCTGGCGGGCCTGTGGAAGCTGGAGGAGGTCAGTCTGCCCCGGGTGCCCTGCTGCCCTGTCCCCAACCGCCCTGTCCCCAACCGCCCTCCCTCCCAGGCCTGACCTCCCGTCCCTGCCCCGCCTGCAGTGCCATCTCAGTGGCTGCATGATGGACCTGTTCGTGCAGATGGCCATCATCATGGGCCTGAAGCAAACGCTCAGCAACTGCATGGAGTACCTGCGCCCGTGAGGACCCCCCCTTCTTCCTCGGGGCGCCCCACCCTCCTCCCTACCTCCCAGGGCCGGCGGAGGGGCCCCTGCGCCCCCGCTCCCTGTCCCCCACCGGGTTCTGGTCACCCCCAGGTGGCTGGCCCTCAAGTATCGCTCAATGCGGGGCCACGAGTCCCGGGACCCCGAGCTGAGAGACTGGCAGCGCAACTACCGCCTGAACCCCGTCAACACCTTCAGCCTGTTTGACGAGTTCATGGAGATGAGTGCGTGGGCCGGAGCTGGGGGGCTGGGGTTGTGGGGGGCCGAGGCAGAGGGAGCACGCGCGGTGGGCGGGGCCGGGGCGCAGGGGCGGGCCCTCAGGGTGCCGCCCCCCGCAGTGATCCAGTACGGCTTCACTACCATCTTCGTGGCCGCCTTCCCGCTCGCCCCGCTGCTCGCGCTCTTCAGCAACCTCGTGGAGATCCGCCTGGACGCCATCAAGATGGTTAGGCTGCAGCGGCGGCTGGTGCCACGCAAGGCCAAGGACATCGGTCAGGGGCCCAATGGGACGGCTGCACAGATCGGGGCGCCCAGACGTGGGGGGGTGGACAGGCGTGGCAAAGGGTGCTGGGACCACATCAGTCCCCTTGAAACACTCTAAGCAGCAGTGGCAAGACAATCCCCCTCACCCCACAGACAGCCCCCCAGGCCTTCCCCCAGGGCCTGCCGGGAAGGGGGTCAGGGCTGGGGGGGCTCCCCCGCAGGCCCCAGACAGTGGCAGGGCTGGCCAATTCCTCACAGGTGCCTCCCTCCCGCCCCCAGCCACCCCTGAAGCCCCCTTGGGGGCCCAGGCAGAGAAGCTGGACTCTGAGAACAGGGAGCTGGTGCATGCAGGAGTCTAGCAGCTAGGGGCAGGCACTGAGAGCAGGTGGCCTCAGTCTCCCAGGCTGGTCTCATCCAGACGGACAGGTGTCAGGGATGAACAGAAGGAAGGGGGCGTGGGATGTGGGCAGAGGGAGGGATACGTGTGGGAGAGGCCCCGGTCTCGGTCCCGGGTTAAAGGGTTCTACCCTGGGGTGGGAACCCAGGAGGGGGACCCCGGGGACAGCTGGGGTGTCTAGGAAGAAGAGGGAGACAGGGAGACCTGAGTCCCTTCCTGTCCATGACAAGGACGAGGGGTCAGGAGACCAGAGGCGGGGCTCTGTCCACCGTGGCCCAGGTCTCCTGTCAGTGGCCTGGCCCCGTAGCTGCGATGGGTGCCATTGGCAGAGGTGTGACAAGACCCTGGGACCACCCAGGCTTCTGGCCTTGGGGAACGATGGGTGGAGGCGTGGTGGGCTGTACCAGCAGTCGTGGCTGGGGGGACAGGACGGCCTCACCGCACTGCTGTGGTCCAGGGACCTGGCTGCAGGTGCTGGAGACTATCGGCGTGCTGGCGGTCATTGCCAACGGGATGGTCATCGCCTTCACATCTGAGTTCATCCCCCGAGTGGTGTACAAGTACCGCTACGGCCCATGCCGAGATGGGGCGCGCCCCGCAGTCGAGTAAGGGGTGCTGCCACACAGCCCCTGGGGGGACCGCACTGCCCAGACACTCCGGGAAAGCTAGTCCAGCCACGGCCTTGCCCAGGGGAGCCTGGGGAACGTTCCAATGCTGTCGGCGTTGCCTGGGGTGGCCCTGCTCTCCTGCACAGACGGGGGCCCCGGTGGGAGGTTGGGGTCCCTGCACCAGCTGGGTCCTGAGCAGGCAGTACCACCACGGCTCCCTCCCGTCAGGCCCCCTGTGGCACTCTCGCCCTCCAGGGGTTCCCCCAAGATGCCCCTCGGCTGCTGGCAGGGAAGGCAGCTGGTGGCAGCCCCAGGCCCCATCCGCCTCCCCCAGCGGCCCCTCTCCCACATGGGGTATGGAGGAGGGGGTCTTTGCTGTGTCCCACACTGACGGTCCCACCAGACAGGAACTAGCTCCAGAGAAACACCTCCGAGGCCCGAGAGGCCTCACCCCGCAGCCCCCACCCCTCCCCACAGCTGCCTCACGGGCTACATCAACCACAGCCTGTCCGTGTTCCACACCAAGGACTTCCAGGACCCCGTCAGTACAGAGGACTCGGAGCACGTCACTGAGTGCAGGTTTGACGCTTCCATCCCCGCTAGTAACCTCTGAACTCCTGACCCCTGACCCAAGGCCCTCTCCACTCAGGTACCGGGACTATCGCAACGCGCTGGACTACAACTTCTCCGAGCAGTTCTGGATCCTCCTGGCCATCCGCCTGGCCTTCCTCATTCTCTTTGAGGTGGGCCGGAACGGGGGTCTGGGGGGTGCAGCCCGCTCCAACCCTCCTCCCTGCTTCCAGCCCCGCTGGCTGGCCTCCCCAGTCAGCCCCTGCTCCCACCACCAGCACGTGGCCTTGTGCATCAAGCTCGTGGCTGCCTGGTTCGTGCCTGACGTCCCTCAGTCGGTGAAGAACAGGGTTCTGGAGGAGAAGTACCGCAGCCTCCGGGAGAAACTGGGGTATGGGCCGCCCCGGGCGGGCGGGCGGGGCTGGGCCTGTGGGCCCCGCCACCGAACTCCACTCCCACCTCCAGCTCCAGCCCCAAGAGCACAGACGTGTAGGGGACCCAGAGCTGTCACTGGCACCCGGGAGCCGAGACTGAGAGCCGCCACCACCGCGCCCCACCCCTGCCCATGGCTATGTGTGTGGGGGGGGCTGTAAGAAGGCCCACGTATACATGGGTGTATGTGAGGGGTCCCAGGAGGAAGGGGTATCTGTGGGGGTCCTGGGAGGGCCGTGTACGTTTGAGGTGTCTGTGAGAAGCACACTTGTCTGATCTGTGAAACCTGGTCCATGTGTTAGGGCTCAGGCTTGGCATAACCCTGACTTGAACTCTGGGTGACCACTGTCACCATACCACTGGGAGGGGGGGCTCCTTATATAGTCACAGCACAGGAAAACCAGCCGTTTGCTGGCCTCCCTCTGACTTCTGGGTCCCAGATCCTGCCCGCCCCAATCTGGCTGGTCGGGGGCCCGGACCTCACCTCTCTGACTCCTCTCAGCCAGCAGAACTTTTTATAATAAAACCTCTGTGTCAACTTTTGGGTGGATTGTGTCTGTGCTTGGGGCTAGCTGGGAAACCGAGGCCCAGATGGGGAGATGTCAGGACGTGGTAGCCTCCTGGCCCTCTTCTGGGTCTCCACGAGCTGCTGAAAGTGAGGTCTTACCCTCCCTGCACCTGGGGCTTGGGAAGGGTACTCTAGGCAGGCTTCCCGGAGGAAGAGGAAGAGCTGGGTGGGGGGAGGGGCGCAACCGCAAAAGCCCCTGGGGACGGTGGAATCTCCAAGGAGTCCTCCAGGCCACGGAGACTCTCCCGGCTAGTTGGGCCGGTTTGGCCTCTGCCCCCAAGCCTGGCGGCCTCGGTTCCCAGTAACTAAGCTGAACGCAGGACATCCTTGAGCGCCAGCCTTGGGCACAAAGCGGGACACTTGGGTCCGCCCTCGGCCCTGGCTGCTGGGCGGGGCTGCACCTGTAGCCGCCGCTGGGGCTGTCGCCGCTGCGCACCTGGCCCAGGTGAGCCGCCCCGCCCTCGCGGTCGCATGAGCCCCGGGTCTTGGCAGTAGGTGAGTGGCAGTCACGGCTCAGACCCACGGGGGTGAGTGGAGGTCGCCGGCTCCCAGGAGCCTGGACCAGGCCTGGAGCTTGGGGTGGGATGAGAGGGTCCGTGCCCCGAGGAGCCTCTGGACCGTGGCGGGCGCGGTCCTGCAGGAAGTGCCTCAGAGCCGGGCCGGCTGCCCGCGTTGCCCGGAAGCCCCAGCTGGTCTGCGTCCCGGCCCTTCGGGCCTTCCCGCTCCGCCCGCCGAGGGCAGTGGCTTCCTCGTGACCTTTGCTCAGGAGAGGGAGGGGGAAAGTCGGGGAGCGTGGGGAACTCCCACCAACGTCCCAAGTCCGTACCCCGGGCCAGAGGCCTCCCAAGGTGCTGGGGAGATACGGAGAAACGAGCAGGGGACGCGGGGCGCCCGGCGGGGACATCGCCATTGGCGCGCGCCTGCCTGCGTGCGCGCCCTGAAGCTCCGTCAGCGCGCTCCCGCCCTCCGGGCGCGTCCCCGGCCTGCGGTCCTAGGCCCGCCCCCCGCCCGCTGCGCCGCCCCCCCCACCGCGCGTCCGGGACCGCGGGGTCACCGCACCTGGAGGGTGGGGAGACTAGGGCCAGTCCACCCCCCGGAAGGCGGAGCGCGGGGAGTGGGGTGTGTGGCGAGGGAGAACCTGGCATCGTGGTCCCGGGAGAGCAGGCCGGGGCCCCTCGGCCTGCGGGCCACAGCCTCTCACGCACGGGCTTTCCTTCTGGAGAGACGTCTGGGGCGCAGCACGTGCGAGGCGCAGAGGGGCTGCGCGCCCCAGAGGAGGGCAGCAGCTTGGAGACTAAGGGGTGCTGAGCAGCAAAGCCTTCGGCGGGGTACGGGCTGCAGCCCCACCGCGCAGGCCGAGGCGAGAAGGCTGGTTTTCCAGGAACCCGGAGTGCGGAGTGCAGGGCCAAAGATGCTGGGTGGTGCAGGCGGGGCTGGGGGCGGGCTGGGACTCGGAGGGTCCGTTCGCCAGAGTGCTTGAGCCGAGGGGATTTTGTACTCCCCTTAGAGAGTGGGCCTGGGGGGCAAGGGAGGCTGACGATGGACGCTAGCAGAGGGAGGGGATGTCCGGGCGCAGCTGGGAGCTGGTGGCTCAGATGGGCACACAGCAGTGGCCAGCCTGGCAGAAGCTGTGGGAGGCAGCGAGGCTGGTCTGGGGCCAGGGAGAGCTCAGCTCCGAGTCCTGCCCATGCTCGGGGCAGGTGGCTGACGACCAGCCCCAGGGTCCTTGGTCACCTCTGGAGAGGCCATACCAGCTGCAGCTGCATCCAGCAGGCCCTGGCTCAGTGGGGAGGATTCTCTCCCGTTCTGTGGGGTGGTCACCCCAGGTGGTGCTTGAGGGCCACAAAGGGCTTGGCAGGCCTGGGACAGGGTTGGATTAAGACTGTAGAGAAGCTGATGCTGCACTGAGGACGCTGAGGGCAGGGATGGGCCCTCAGTACCAGCCACTTGTCACTGGGCCCTGAGTCCCAGGTCAGTCAGGGGTGGGGTGGTGTCAGTGGTAACTGGAAATGCTGGCTGCCCCCAACCTGAGCTCAGAGCCAGGAGCCTCTGCTGAGGCCCCGTTTGATCCCTTATCTGGAAAAGGGGCACTGTGCTCCCATCCCAGCTGGAAACAAAGGTCCACGTTGGGGGACCACCATGGGAGGTGGACAGGGCGAGGCCTAAAGAGCCCTGCTCGAGGTCCCATTGTTGGCAGGAGTTTCCACAGGACCCCCGTCTCCCTAGCAGGTCAGAGGTCAGAGGCCCATGGGCTGCTCGCTGGAGGGTCATGGAGGCCCCCCACTTCCTTGGCGTGGCACCACCTGGGGTGTCCAGGAAGTGGGCCCTCCTTGTGAGTGCAGAACAGCCCTGATGGGCGGTCTTCTTGCCAGGATGCCGTCATGTGGCCCCAGCCTCTCTGCAGCCCCTCCACAGCTCCGGCCTGGCCTGGGGAAACGCGGGGCCCGGTGGGCTGGTGCAGCCGGGGCAGCCGGAGGAAGGGGCCCTTGACAGAGCTACAG